CCCCACCAGGAACTGCCAAGTGTGACAGGCCGATTACCATTTGGAATGAACAAGAAAAAGCCAGTCATCCATATAAACATGGAAGCACAAGTAAGGAGCAGACCACATGATAAAACACATGTGGTGCTGAACCCCCCTAGACAACTAAAGATATGGATGTGAATGCTCCACCACAGGAATGTGTAGGTAAGCATTGGAAATACCCACCTTGGTCATACAAAGACCTGGAGGAAATGCCCATCAAAGAGAAAGGTATGTCTCCATGGTAAATTGAGGAGTGCGAACATACTGATTGAGACGGGATAAAATGATGACAGGACGCCAGTCCCTGGTCTTCTTGGGAACCACAAACAGGTGGGAGTAAAACCCTGTGAACCTGGTAGAGCTGGTTTAATATCCTGTTGTGCAATGAGGTCCTGAACCATCTCTGATAGATGCTGGCATGTTGATGGATCCCGAGGAGAAGGTAATGGGATTACTAGAGAAGGGAGGAAAAGAAAGAAAGGCGATAACATATCCCTCTAATGAACGAAATTCAAGAAATGAGACCCCACTGTTGGCAAATCATGCGTCATCATGTAAATTATCAAAATGTGGCACCGCAGGAGGGTGGGACAAGAAGAGGTTGGGAAGGGGAAGGTCAGGAACCGGTTTCACACTAGTCCCCGACTGTGACAGATGAGCTACCAAATTAGTAGGGTTGAATATTGATGGGTCGAGGCCACACACAACTCCAAAGACTCAGGAACCAAGTCAAACACATAAAAACGGTACCACGCAGAGGTCCTCAGATAAGGAGTTTGGAGATAGGTCAGTGCCAAAACCATGTCATGACCCAAGAGGTCCCAACAACAAACAAACCATGTTGGAAGCACGAGAGCTGAAGACAACAGATGAGCCAATGCAGAAGTATGAATTGAGAGGATTTCAGCAGAAAACCCCTCAGGGATCTTTTGAAGAGCCTCTGACAGAAGGTGAAGGGAGGAAAGGTACCTTAACTGAGTCATGAGGGTGAGACGAAGTTGAGAAAATTGGGCTTGGGTAAGTTGGACAGAATAATCTGGGTTAGCTCCTCAAACAAGTAGAACTGACCCCAACAACTGTTGGTTGAGAAAGGGAAAGTTTGCTCAATGATAAGCAAGGGTGGACTGATCTGAAGTCCATGGGGGACGAGGCATACTAATGCCATCCCACAGTTAAGAGGCAAATTGATGCACGTGAACCCTAATATCAGGGGACGGGGAAAAGACTAAATATGGTCGGAAGGTTGTTTTATATAAGAGGGAAGGTCTATGTCATAGAAAACTGGTGTAAGAGACAAAATATCACATACCTGAGAGATAAAGTCTGAAAAGACTGATGACAGATGAGCTAAACCAACGGGTAGACCACCCACAAACCAACATCTGAGCAGTGGTAGAATGGGGGATGCTGTCAAGTTATGAGTATAATTATAAGAGGGGTGACCTGCACTACACTGATAGTGTTACCACTGCCTCAACTCCCAGCGATTGGCACCATCTGTTCAGCTTCTGGCTATTACATTCCAATCAGTGAGGGTTCTCCATAGTCTACCACCCCAGCACTGGTAAGCAGCAAGAGTCTCCATTGCTCCACTCAATGAAAAACGGGGATGAATTTGCAGTAGGAAGACCCAGAGAAAATGCCCGGATCCCCAAAAGATGCCTGCTAGAAGGGTCTTTTGCTGGAGACAATGCATCAGATGACCACTTAAATTTATTCTGAAAAACCAGCAAACCAGAGTCAAGGAATCAGGCAAAGTCCCCCCCTGTTGCTGGTATTTTCCATGATAGTCCATGGAATAGGTACACTCTTGATCAGATAGTAGACAGATATCAGAATATATCATGAGGATACCTCACGTGATCTTGCAGAACACCCCACCTTAACAGTGGACATATATGGAGACAAGATAGATGATATGATCTCTTTTTGTTATCCTGGCTTGATGCAGAGTTTTGGGAAATAAGTAAATACTGGTAGGTACCACCAGCCACCTGGTGGGATCATAGAAGCAAATGCCATAAACCAAAGGGGAATGTACTCACCCATCTACCAGTGACCACTGGGAGATAAGACAGCTATATGGTGAAGAGAGTGGTAGTCCACAACGCAGCATGAATGATCTTGTCCAGCAGGAGTAGGAAATGAGAAATGAGAGAGGTGATGAATCAGAATGGAATGAAATGCAGACACCTGCAAAAAACAACCTCTAAAAAAAGGTGCAGGCTGTACTAATAAAGCAGAAGAAGACTTGTTCCTGGAGGAAGAGGAATCCCATGGAATGGAGAGTGGAAGACAGAAACCTCAAAGGTGACAAGTATGAGCTAAAGAGAAACAAATGGCATGAACAGGTCAGAAAAGTCTGTCTGGGTCCTAGCGAGCCTAGAAGAGTGAAACAGAAGGATAAGAGAGAAGAAAGGAAGAGGTCTCCTCCCCATGTGGCTGAATACTGAGAGAACAAGGACCAGAAAGAGGAATAAGAGGAAGGAAAGGGTACAGAAAGAGCCCCTAGCATAAAGAGGAGAACACAAGTGAGAAGAAAAAGAATATGTTTGAAGAGAAGATGGTAGAAGTTATAGGTTGTGAATGAGCATGGGTAAGAGTGTGCAGGGTGACACTGAGGTCCTAGTCAGGTACAGGGCAAGTGTGTGTATGGATAAGGAAGGATCTTAACAAGGTGAACAGAACAGAGGAGAAAACACCTTGCAGTATTGAGCAGGCAAAATGGTGAAGACAAGGCCACCCAATACTCGACAAAGTCAGAGACAGATGAATCTGTAGAATAGCCTGGTAAATGAAAGAGAGATATCTGATGGTAAACAATTATGAGTAAAGTGGTGACAGATATATCAATATTGAAAGTCACCCTCCACATGTGGGTGGAAGGACCAGGTAGCATGATGCCCAGAAAGGGAAAGGATTACCAGATGCTTAAGTCAGGTTCCAAGGGTGAAGGACTAAACCAAAAATGAAGATGAAAAGACAAGATCCAGTGATGGAAAATAAAAGGTATATGTAAAAGCAATAGAGTGTATAATTGGCAGGGAAGAGAGGGTTGGGTTGACAGATGGCAGAGAACCAAGGTTAAGTCAACCAGAGGAATGGCAGTGTCTCTAGGCGAGGCCAGGATCCCAGGTAAAAACTGGAAAGGTAGGTGAAGATTATGACTGGTAAGTGACCAGAACAGGCAGAAGGCAGTGACAACCAGGGTCAAGGAATGGAGAAAAAATGATCAGAAGAGAGGAAGCACAAAAGTGAGAAGGTTGGCTAGGCAATGAGGAGCAGAGTCCTCAAGAGAGAACCCCCAATGGAAACAGGAGAAAAAGATACAAACTGTAGGCAGAACACAGACCAGTCAAGAGAAGCAGTCTACAACTATGTTGTAGTACTCAGTACATGGCATGCAATGAAAACAACCCATTGAGAACTTGCCCAAGAAGGAAAGTTCAGAGTTTGCAAGCAAGGAATTCTAAATCAGATTACCCCATGGTGATTAATTTAGGAAAAACCCTGGAGGTATTGGAATGAAACATAACTAAGTGATCCATTTGGAGCAGTAATGATAGTATCATGCCCAACAATGTACCAGAAGTTCAAACGCATGGATATGGGGAGAAGATTCATCCTGGGTCCATTTGCCGGATGGAAAATAGATGATCAGGGATGCTCCTTAACAAGAGGGGGAAGCATAGGTGAAGAGTTGTATGTCCAGATCGGGTGGAGGTAATAAAACATTGACAGTGACAGTAGATTAGTCCAGCTACCCATACAAATATTAGAATGGAGGAAGGGGCAGGAGAATCACTGAGGTCAAATAATCCTGTAAGACATCCCACCGGTCATGCAAGGATCAACTGAGGAAGTGCATAAGCATGTGACCTAAAGGTATACGCAGTCCTCATGAAGCCATGGTCACCAAACACAAAACCTCACACAGAGAATGAGTGGGATAGTCATGAATCCTCATGACAGCAAGGTCCAATGCACACAGACAAATAGGAGAAGGCTGATTCCAGCTGAGAATGAGTTCAAAAACACTCCCTCAGTGAATAAGATATTGATTGAGAATAAGGAATTGGTGAACATAGCCTCAAAAGAAATGTTTAATATAAATAGGAATGGAAGGAGAAAAGGAAAAAGAGGGCTGAAAGGAGGAGGGTAAGGTAAGTGGAGATAAAGTCCATGGGTAAGAAATAGAAAAACCCCTTACTGGCCAGAAAAGTGTGGCCATAGAAGCTCAAACTGAGAAAGAATCCCACAGAATCCAACACAACTGAAATGTCACCAATGAGCTCAACGGGACTGACAATGAGTAAAAGAGGAAGTTGGGAATACAAAATACAGGGAACTAAGGATGAAGAAGTGGTACAGTGGTGGAGGGTAAGGTTGGGGATAATATGGAAACAACTTACAAAAAGAGAGGATTAATGATGGGCAGCCTTAGCCTGTGATACACTCAAATCAGGAATACCTTCACACTTCAGGGCAAAGAAAGGGTCGAGACAAAGGGGCTTGAAGAATAGAAGACAGAAGTCGAATTTGGTATAGGAGAGTACCTATAACCCTAATCATTACACAATAATCTCCAGTAATAAGAAGGTGAGTGAGCAACAAGTGACCGTGAAACCTTTTATTTAAAACTTAGCAAGTGGGCAATCACTTCTCTGGCACTAGCTTTTTCCATGATAGTCTAATAAATGAGAGGATCTGAACCGAGTAATAGAAAACCTTAATACCACAAGGATACCTCTAGTGGTCTTGCAGAACACCCTATTTCAACAGTGGATATTGGTAGAGCCAGGGCAGATGGGTTGAGTGCTCTCCATTATCCCTGGCCTGATACAGATTTTGGGAAATAAGCATACTATGGGAGGCAACACCAACCACCTGGCAGGATCCTATAAAAGGGAAAAGGGTGATGATAAAGAAATTGGACTTACTCTTCTCACAGACAGGATGTATTATTAAAAATAATAGTGACTGGAGGGAGTCAAAATTCCATAGCAGATGAAACAGCCAAATGATGAAGATTATGGGATATGAACGTGCGTGGATTCATCCATATGCCAGCCTGAACAATCTCATCTAATAATTGGTGAAAATGAAACATAAGAGAGTAACACAGTTGCCAAATCCAATGCTACAAACTGTTTAAGAACCACCACCTTCCCAAGCAGCTGAAGTCTTGGGATAAAAAGGTCCAGTCTAGATAGAGGAGTAAATAAATATGGTGAAAGACAGTGCAGGTAGCATCGATAGCATATACATCCCAACAATGATGACCACAAATAAAAAGAAAATGTCTTCAGAGAAAGAAGTTATAACAAAAATGAAGGTAACAGAGCATGTGTAAGAATGCATAAAACCACATCAAACTCACATTAAGGCATGAGAGTATGATGAAGGATGATGGACCAGAACAAAGTAAACAGGACAGAAGAAGAAAATCCTGATTATAACCAAAAAGATGAAATATAGTTAATAAAGCTGCCTAACAACTAGACTAGTGGAAACTGACAATCCATGGTCAAACAACCATGTGAAAAAGGCCAAAAAATTGGGCCACAGTAGAATGGCCCAGAGGAAGGTCAAAGCTTAAGAGCCAATGTCAAAAACACCTGCCACTGCTGTTGATAGATGAAAAGATTTCAAAGATGACAGGAATAGGATAAGAAAAAGGCTAAATGATTCCAGAGTTCAACCATGTAGGCAATGGACTAGACAAATTCCATACATGAAAATGAAGGGGCAACACCACTGTGCAAAAAAGAGACATGGTTGGAGCAAGAGAGAAAGGAAGTAAGGCAGAGGACGAGGAGGCTGAATTGTGCCAACCAAAGAGACACCACCAACAGGACCCGAGAAGGAGTATCGCATATCAAAGTGAGGATACAAGGAAGGAGAGGAATAGGAGAACAGGCATACAGAAAAGAGTGAGACCAGACCTGGCTGAGAGCTTGACTGCCAGGGTCGAAGGATTAGGAACAGGGGAACCAAAGAGAGGAAGTTTGGTGTTGAAAGGGACAAAGACATTGATGAGATGTGTGCCAAAATGAGAGCAACCCAAAGAAAAACCTGAGGGTGGGGAGACCACTCTATGATTAACCCTACCAACATGGGTCTATCCATGATCATTAGTCAAAGGCCATGTCATCTCGTTTGTAGACTCACATTGCAAATTTTATTGAACTACTATTCTATTAATGTATGTCAATTTAGTTTGGTATTAACTTGTAGATTATAATTCACATTTTAGTATTATACATTAGTTAATTTCTTAAGTTAAAAGTAAATATTAAGAAAAAAATCCTAAATATTACTTTTAGTGTGTCACATGGTATGTTGAATGCAGCACTGGTTCAAATTAGGTGTTTGCAATGTCCAAATACAAAGTCTATAGTTTCTTACAAATTAGATACTCAAATTACTTATATTGACAAGCTAGAATATTAGATAAGAACCTACTATCTTTTCTATTTTCTGAGATATTAATACACTCATTGAATCAACCAAGGTGGCTCTGCCCACCTCTTCCATTTTTGAAAATACTTGGTTACATACACCTACTTTACCCAGTGATATGTGTATAACCAATAGAAAGCTCAGAATGTCCTCCTAGTGATTTTCTCAGCCTCGGGAAAC